TGGGAGAAGGGTTCCACATCTCCAAGCGTTCCTCGGGTGGGAGCCCAGCTGTCCCCAGACCGGGGTGACCCCATGGAGGGGGACACTCTGGAGAAACCCACCAGATTCCCCTGAGCAGGAAGATGGATGACAGGACTTTTCCAATGTTCTTTCCAACGGGCAGAGATTTCCTTTTGTTGGCTTCCCAAGCTTTCACCCCAGCCTCAACAAATTGGGAGTTGGGGCTTTTGGGGCTTTTTTTTTTTTGGCTTTTTGGGCTTTCTCCATCTCTATACCCTACCTCAAGCCAGGCTCCTGCCATCACCGCTTCATTTTGAGGGCGTTTTGCACGTTTAGGGTACTCGGGGACAGACACCAAGCGCATGACCATCAACAAGGTGCTGTCCAACGACGTCCTGGCGCAGCAGAACCAGTACGTGCAGGTAATCCCCACCCTCCGGGTCACAGCCCCCATTTCTGGCAGGGACCGCCCTGGTGTGGCACAAACCCCGCAGGGAGTGGTGGAATTTGGGCCCCTCTCTGCTCTGCTCCGTCCCCTGCAGCGCTGCATCGACTGGAACAGGGATATCCTCAAGAAGGAGCTGGGCTTGCTGGAGGAGGACATCATCGACCTGCCGGCCCTCTTCAAGCTGGACAAGCAGGGAAAAGCTGTTCCCTACTTCCCCAACACGGTAAGGATGGGTTCCTACCCTTGGCTCCTCCCAAAAAAAAATAGCTCCATCAACCAGGATGGGTCCCTAAAGTTTTCCTGAAAAAGAAAAATCAGCTGTCTAGAAAAGGGAAATGTCTCCAGGATAAACACAGGTCTAACACAGCTTGGTGGTTTTGGGGTTTTGAGGCAAAACCCTTTCAAAGCAGTGAAATTGCAAGGTGAGAGGCACGTTCTCCCCAAAGTTTTCCCCCCAAAAAACCCCAGCTGTCTAGCTAAAGGAAATATATCCTGGCAGCATGGATAAATGGATAAACATAGGTCTAACACAGCTTGGTGGCTTTGTGGTGCTTGCAGTGGGGTTTTTTAAAAAAATGGTGAAATTGCAAGGGGTGAGGCATGTTTTAATGATAAAAAGGGGGAATTCTGTTGGATTTGGAATCCTGAGGGAGGGCAGCTGCAAAAACAGTGCTGAGGAGGGTGGAGGAGGGTGATCAGTGTCTTTCCTTTGGCTTCATCCCTCCCGACACTGCTGGTGTCAGCCTGCAGATCACCATGATCATCCTGGCCAGGGATCTGGGCATTCCCAAACCCTTTGGCATCACCCGTTCTGATGCCAGCATCCTCTGGTGTCACCCACAGGTCACCATGATCAACCTGGGCATCCCCAAGCCCTTTGGCATCACCCATTCTGATGCCACTGTCCCCTGGTGTCACCCTGCAGGTCACCATGATCGTGCTGGCCAGGGACCTGGGCATCCCCAAGCCCTTCAGCGTCACCCATTCTGATACCAATGTGCCCTTGGTGTCACCTGCAGGTCACCATGATCGTGCTGGGCAGGGACCTGGGCACCTCAAGCCCTTGGGCATCACCCATTCTGATACCAATGCACCCTTGGTGTCACCTGCAGGTCACCATGATCGTGCTGGGCAGGGACCTGGGCATCGCCAAGCCCTTCTGTGTCACTCATTCTGATACTGATGTGCCCCTGGTGTCACCTGCAGGTCACCATGACTGTCCTGGCCAAAAATCTGGGCATCCCCTAGCCCTTGGGCATCATCCATTCTGACACCACTGTCCCCTGGTGTCACCCCGCAGGTCACCATGATCGTGCTGG